AAAAAAAAGAACATAAACATATGATTGTGCTTGGTTGAGACTAAGGCGTGGACTTTTTGCTGGTTTATGTTTCATCAGATCCACCAACCCAACCATAACGTAAGATTGTACAAGCATCACAAAACCTTCAAACTTTTTCCTGTTTCCAAATTAAGACACAGAGACACAACTAATTTTTTCTCTTTTTTCTGCTTTCATCACTAACTTCCACTCAATTACCCACCGGGATGGCTGGCGCCGGAAATGGGGGCCTCCCGCCGTGGAAGGAGGCGCCGCCGCCGCCTCGACCCACCATCAGCCTCCCTCCGCGGCCTGCTTCCATGGACACCCTTTTCACCGGCGGCTTCAGCCCCGGCCCCATGACTCTTCTCTCCAACTTTCTCGCTGATGGGGATGACTGCAAGTCCTTCTCTCAGCTCCTCGCCGGAGCTATGACGTCTCCGGTCACCGGCGCCGCCGTACTTGACTCACCTGCTGGCCTCTTCTCGCCCAATCAGGTGTGTATCAACAAATTTAAGTTTTACATCGATTATAGATAAAATTTACATAATATATATAAATGATATGTATAATTTTGTAAAATTGAGTTAAGAAGTGATTTTTTTAAGTTATGTTCAAGACCATGTGGAAGTTCTTTCTTGTGTTGCATTTTCAGCTATGAAACATGAATAATGTTGGGAAAAGGAAAATAATGTTTTTTTTTTTTTTTTAATTTTGATGCAATGATTTAGTGTTGTTTTTGGATTAGAGTTGAAGTTTGAGACCTAAGGCATTGACTTTTAATGTTGACTTTTTATATGCGGATTAGTGAAGTAAAAGTTTAATTTTTCAGGTTTTGGCGTTGTGTGTTTGCTTTTTGGGTTGTTATGTTTGTACTGTACCAAAGTATGAAAGCTTTTACCCTAATGTGGTAACTTTATGCCTTTGATAAGATTCATGGAATCTATTTCCAATGAGTGTAGAGTTATTGAATGTGAATATTCAGTTTAGAGTTTTTGTTTTCTGTTTTTTTGGGATTCTTTATAATGGTGGAATGAGATTATTACGAGTTTGGAATCTGCCCAAAAGGAAGAGATGAATTTATTTCCCCCTTTTGTCACACTAAAACATTGATTATACACATTAAAGTTAGATTTGTGAGTCCACTAAGATGATAAATTTTTCCAAAGATACTTTTGGAGGAGAAAAAATAAAATGAATTTCTTTATAAATTAAAATTAATTTATGTATAAGTTAATATATAGAAACTCTTTTTCATTAATTTTTTCAAAATTTTAGTTTTAACTCATGTATAAATTAGTTTTAGTTTATGAAAAAGTATACTTCAATTTTTTTTTTTCTCTCTTAAATGTGCTTATGAAAAACTTTATTGAGATAGGCCTTTATGCGAATTTTAAGTTTTAATAGCAGTGCATAAGGGTATTTTTTATTTTCTCATTAGATGAATGTTGATTTGACACTTTTTTTTAATGAATTTAAAATTTAAGGTTTAGACTTTGTTTTTAGTGAATCACTTCTGATTTTGTATTTTTTAAGAATATTTTGGGAAATGTGTTCCTAACACCCTCTTTCTGGCAATGTTCTTTTTTTCAAAATTATTAGTTGTATTTTGTAAGTAGTAAGCTATGGTGTACCAATAAATACTTTCAAGCTATATTCAAGTTACAAATCAATAAAAAGTTGGAAGCTATGATAAGAGTATGGCCATATTTTGATAAACTTCTTAAAAACACAAGAGAAGAAAATAAAAATATTAAAAAAATAAGTTTTTGTAAAAAATTAATATAAAGTAATATCTATAAATTAATTTATATATAAGTTAATTTTAGTTTATAATTTTTTTTTATTTTTTTTCTTCTTATTTTCTTTTCCTATAAATGTTTTTAGAGAAATTTGGCAAAACAAATTTTGTATATCATGCTTGATATTTTTACTTCTAGTACCGAAACAAAAAAAATTAAAATAAAATAGTGAATATTTCTGAAATATTTCCCAGACGTGTTTGAACATGTCAAACATATCCGGAGCCATTCTATATCTATATAAGTATACAATCTATTGTGTCCTCATTTTCATAGCATATCGACTCTCTCAATATCTCCAACTTTTATATATTTGTTAAGGAACCATGCTCTTTTAAAATCTTATTTGTTAAGGTTTAAACAATGGATTGCTTATGCACAAACTTCAATAAATAATGTCATAACTCAAGTACAAGCTTTTCTGTACCTCAATCCTGTCTTCTTTTTTTCTTCCCTTGAAACTAACTGTAAAATCTTTTGAAGAAACATAGGAAAAGACCCCTCTATAAGTTAGAAGCGTTTTTGGCAACTTCTCTGCTGAAAATGTAGTATTTTCAGTAAAGAAGTTCTCAAAAGAACTTTTAGCTTGTATTTAAACAGACTCTATATAATCAGCTTTTGATAGTAGTAGGTTTTCTAAACTACCCTTGTATGTGTAATATCTGTCTTCCAAGATTCAAGAAGGAAACAGCAATCATTGGTGATTATGCCATGTTAAGGGGTTACACTCGGTGCATGTTAATTTGGATGTTTGTTGAATCATTCAAAATCACATTAAAATATCAGTTAATGTGATTTTAGGCAAATGTTTTACATGTTTGGCCTCACATTCAGAAATTGATTTTGAGTTGAAGTTTAGATATGCGTCAGAACAAAAATTTTATACTTAGTTAACTAACTTTTAGGATAAAAGTATCAAACATAGATCACTTCACTTAATCAATTTTACAAAATTTTATTCAAAATCAGATTTGAAAACACTCACGACCTAAACACACATTCAGTTCCATGTTGAATCACTCAACACTAACAGGAGCTCCCAACTGATCTGCTTACTAGATTCTTAGGTTTAGGTCCACTATGTTATTTCTAATAACACAGTTCTATTCAGGCCATAGCAAAGATAATACTTACTCAAGATACATAGATAGTAAGAAAATGATAATACTCAATAAGGATATATAGATTGTACCCCCTAAGCTAAGGTTAAATAAATGTGAATGCCTAGTATATATATTATGGTGAGGATAACAAAAATTCAAAGGCTTCTTGTTGGATTATATCAGATATCTTTTTTGATCATTAAGAAATACAATAACGGCAATAAAGCTCAAATTTAAGATTTTATACATATTACTCCAAACTACCACCACCAGGCCAACCTTCGTGGATCAGATTATATCAGATATCTAACTCTACACATGATAATGAAAATTTTATTATATGCCTGATATTGAATGGTACAACAGCATACATATTCACATGATTTTTCAAGAAATTACATTGCCTTCTTATTCTCCTAACTTGTGGGGCTTGTCATGTAGGTGTCTTTTGGAATGACACACCAGCAGGCCCTAGCACAGGTCTCAGTTCAGGCTGCACACACCAACTCAAATATCCACATCCAGCCTCAACATTCACTGCCTCTATCAGTATCACAGGTTCCTGCAGCAGCTGCTTCCAACACCACACAACACCTGATACCACCCTTATCTGCAGACTCTTGGGCTGCAATGGCCGAATCCGCCGATCATTCTCACGCCGAACAAAGATCTCAATCTTCATCGATGAACGTCGACAAGCCTGCAGATGATGGCTACAACTGGAGGAAGTATGGCCAGAAACAGGTGAAGGGTAGCGAGTTTCCTAGAAGCTATTACAAGTGCACACATCCAAACTGTCCTGTGAAGAAAAAAGTGGAGCGGTCGCTTGAGGGTCACGTAACTGCGATTATATACAAAGGAGAACACAATCACCAACGTCCTCAGCCTAACAAGCGCTCCAAAGACACCATCATGGCTTCAAATGAAAATGAAAATGTGCAAGGGAATGTGGATTCATCTCATCAAGGGGCAAGCACAAACTCGATGATGAAGATGGATCCTGAGTCGAGTCAGGCAACGGCAGATCGGCTATCAGGAACAAGTGACAGTGAGGAAGTTGGTGATCATGAAACTGAAGTTGATGAGAAGAATGTTGAGCTTGACCCCAAGAGGAGGTAAGCTTTTACTATGTATGATATAAATTTGTTATTGCTGGTTAATCATTTGTTGGGAGTTATTATATTGAAGGAAAGGGAAAATTAGTTACAAACAGTCAGATCAGTTAATTAGGTAGTCATAGGAATTGGTTAGATTTGTTAGCAGTTGTAGATTGAGCTTTTTGATCTTTGTAAAAGGATAAGTCCTGGTGAAGGGTCTCTATCTTTTGTTTTGCTCCAACTCCAATTCAATAAAATCTTTACAATTTTCCCTGGAAATTTCAGATTCTTGCGAATTCTGTCCCAAAGATTTTTCTTTAACAAAATTTTCCCCCTGATTACCGTGAATTTTGCCTCTACATAGAAAATTGTCACAATTGAGACAATATTGTCATGGATTTTCCTTTAAACTGTCAAAATTAAGACGATTTTATGACAGATTTTTCTTTAAACAGCCTCAATTTTCTACACGGGCGGCAAATTTTGCAAGATTGTGAAACTTTGGAGACAGTATAATTAAACCTAAAATCTTTCTTTTCTTTCCCACTTCTATTCTCAGTTCCTAACATCATTTATCTTTTCTGATCTTAAAAGTGTTGTAATTCTGCAGAAAAACAGAAGTCATGCACTCAGATCCAGCTTCTTCACATAGGACTGTCACTGAGCCCAGAATCATTGTGCAAACAACAAGTGAAGTTGATCTCTTAGATGATGGGTATAGATGGCGAAAATATGGGCAGAAAGTTGTCAAAGGCAACCCATATCCTAGGTGATATTGCTTCTCCTCCACACTTTGATTGCATCTATTGAACTATTCATGACTGTTAATTATGATTGCCCTGAATTTGTCAAAAAATCATCACCCAAAAAAATGCTCAATTTGTTCATACTCATTGTTGGGATGCAAACATAGTCCCACATCGTTCAAATAAGAGGATAGACATGAGTTTATATACACACAATTGTCTGTATTGATAGAGAAACCTTTTGGGTAGGTAATGATGGAGCGGCGGTGCAAGCACTCAGAGCGTGTGTGTGAGGTACATAGTCCCAAGAGGATGGACATGTGTTTATATACACACAATTGTCTCCGTGTGTGAGGTACATAGTCCCAAGAGGATGGACATGTGTTTATATACACACAATTGTCTCCGTGTGTGAGGTACATAGTCCCAAGAGGATGGACATGTGTTTATATACACACAATTGTCTCCGTGTGTGAGGTACATAGTCCCAAGAGGATGGACATGTGTTTATATACACACAATTGTCTTCATTGGTAGAGGTCTTTTGGGTGTGATTGTTGGGATGCGAACATATAATTGTCTCCATTGGTAGAGAGACAATATTTGCGGACAATATCTTACCGATGTGGAGACATGTGTATGTGTGTGGTAACCCCCCATTCCCAACACTCATCCCTCAGATTATACATACAATTGTTCAGGGACTTAATATAAAAAAATGTATTCAAAAACTAAAAGTGAAAATTGATAAAAAAAAGTTCAAGAACTAAAAACATATTTAATCTTTATTTATATTATATACTGCTTTATGTAACATTGATCACATTAGCCTTGTCTAGTCCTGCAAATAAAATTCTGATTTTGCTTATATCACATTTAGGAGCTATTACAAATGTACAACCCCGGGTTGTAATGTGAGAAAGCATGTGGAAAGGGCTTCAACAGATCCTAAAGCTGTCATAACAACATATGAAGGAAAACACAATCATGATGTGCCAGCAGCCAAGACTAACAGCCACACTATGGCCAGCAATACTGCATCACAGTTAAAATCACAGAATTCCAATCCTGAGAAGCATAGTTTTGGCAGCAGAGATACCGGTGGCAACGAACAACAGCCGGTGGCGCGTCTACGGCTGAAGGAAGAGCAGATAACCTAGTGAGCTGGAAGAACTTAATGCCTGAAGGAAGAATGTGTCTCACCTCACAAGTCATCTTTATTTTGATGCTATTGCATTCTTTTTAGTCTTAGGCCTAAGTTTTGATCATGACCTATCAGTGCAATTCCTAATAAACAAATACTCAACTAGTTCAACACTTTTCTCTTCCAGTTTTCCCTCCACAACCACATCCTGATGAAAGAGGTAAGGACTACAGGTTTAGTCTGCACAGCCAATACAGGTTTTGGATGATGTTGTACTATTATTACCTTGTGTACATTGAGAATGTAAGTTATGTTGTTTAATATAGTTCATCATTTCATCGTGTAACTCCTTGCTCTTTGATATGCTCAAGAACGTGACAAAATTTTTGATAATGGAATAAATTTCATTCATAAGTTCCCTCCACCATCCAATATGTCAAGAATAACCCCACGAGTAACATGGTAAATCACCTATTCTAGTAGGTTCACCTTTTTGAAAAGTATATGTGGAAAGAGGTGTTGAAAAATTTCACATTGTCAATCATAATTCTTGAAATGTAACTCATATATTTGCTGGACAACTTTATTTAAAGTCAATTGATTTTAAGATTATAAAATAACTGCATCAAATTGACTAGTATTTTACTTCACATTTTAATAAATAATTTCAAAACCATGTGTTTGGTCAAAAAGTCCATGCTTGACATGATCTTAAAACCTGAAAAGTCTATAGACTTAAAAAGTGAAAAGATGGCACTTGAAGGAGCAAAAAATCAACGAAGGGAAGACCAGGACTTGGAAACTAAATCCAAAGAATAGAGACTTTCCCACAAGTTGAAGATCAGCTACGTTGTCTTCAGATTCGACGAATATTTTCTTCATAACAAAAATTGAATTGTCAGCATCTCAATAAATTTCTGTTCATTTGATTTAGTTGCTAGAAAGCCTTATATTTGTTAAAAGTTTGACATTATCAATTTGACAGATAAGGAAATTTAACCCGCCTCCTCATTTGCATTGCATCACTGTCGAGTTGGAAACCTTTTTTAAATTAATAATTATTTATTTAAAAGTCCTATCAGAAACTAGAAATTGTTAATATAACGACAAAGGAAAATTCATATAATATGAAATTGTGGGCAATCAATTAATTAATTATATGCAGATGGGGGAATTCAAATTGCTGTTCTATTCTACTTTTTTGTTGTACATAGTTACTAGAGAATTAAAAGATTCATAATTTCAACTCATGTCTTATATTTTCCTATGAAAAAAACGTATGTCTTATATTAATATTACAGAATTCAACTTCAAATCCCAGTATCTTTCCAAGTTCCAAGTTCAAACAGATAATACAAATGTGTTTGAAGTTTCATTTGTTTTTAATTAAATTTCATTTTAATCCCTGTATTCTAAAAACAGTTATCTTGGTCATTGTATTTTTTATATTTGGTTAATTTCACCCCTTTATTAAAAAAAAATTCAGCTAGAGTGAATTACATCCCTATATAAATACTCCGTATGTATGTTTATATTCAATCTCAAACTCAAGTTAAGGAAAAGGGTTAGGTGTTCATTGACTAACATAAAACTCGCTTATATATTAAACACACATCACTTGCAAAATATTCAAATGACATTATATAAAAATTACAAGGATTAAAATAATTAATTTTAAAGTATAAGAATTAAGAGCAATTTTTTTAGAAAATTGAGAGATCTAAAACATATGTTATTATTATTATTATCATTCCAATTATTGTCAGTCATGACATGTTATCATTACTATTATCACTATCACCACTAACATTTGATACACCACTATTATTATTGCACCACTATTATTATTGTTATCGTTAATATCAAAATTATTATTGTCATTATTACTATAACCATCCCATTGTCATATAAAATAATATTAATTAAATTAAAAAATATAATGCAATAAATTCTACACTTTTTTGCTAATGGGATTTATTATTCACTAAACAATACATATAAAAAAATCAAGTAAGTTATACATTTGTCCTATATTATTTTTCTTGTGCTCTAACTTTATATGTATCAAACACCTTATGATTCTTAAAATAAACTTATCAAACAGGCAGTAATACTATTTACATGCTATTAAATAACACCTTATTCCGACACTAACATTTTTTTAAAGATCAAGATTTTACGCACCTCCTATAATTTTCCCTTCATAAAATCACTAATGTATCGATAACTTACTTATGGCTCCATTCAAAATTTAATTACGTTGCACAAAATTATCAAACTTCATCAGATATGCTTGCTGCCCAAAGGTCATGTCAAAATAATCACTAAATTAGTCCCTTAGTTAATTCAATCCTTGAAAATACAAAAATCTTATTCAAGTCCCTAAAACTATTAATCGACAATGATTTGTACTAACGTTACAATACATTTTAAAATAATTTTTAGTACTAATATTTTAACTCTTGCATTGCATGAAAAAAAATAATTTTATATGATTAAAATTCATAATAAGTACATATGTTTAAGTATATGAATCATTTTTAATTTATAATAAACAATTTAAATTTTAATATAAGATTAGTTTTAACTACTAACAATTTATTATAAAAAAGAAATAAAAGTGATAAAGATAAAATCAATATATTAAAAGAGAGGTAGTAAAGAAAATCCGGCATACAAGTAAGAAGTAAAGGTAATTTGAGATAAATGAGAGATTTTTTTTTTACTTATAACAGAAATAACATATGAAATGCACATGCACAAGATAAAGAAAAAAATTAATTGGGAGTGAAAAGAGTAAGAATCCCACTTTTCAAAATTGTGTATCTTAACTTTTAAAATAGCAGTAGATAAGGACTAAAATGATTGATTTTTGGTAATTTCAATTATGCAAGTGATAATTTTGTATTTACAGGACTACTTTGACCGGTACTTACAATTTCAAGGGCTAATTAGGTGTATTATTCAATCATATCAATTCTTAATCACTTCACAGATACTGAATCTGAACAGATAGTTCATATAAGCAAGGCAGAATGGATTCCCTAGCAGAACGCAGAACACAGAACAATTGCTTTTATAAATATATTGCAAGTATTAGACTTCAACAAATGAACAATATTATAAACAAAGCTAAGGACTGATTTTCTACCAGATATTTTGCAAGATCAATGTCCATGTAGTCATCCTCGCCTAATAGGCTCTCTTGTATTTTGCGGAGACAAAGAATGATACAACCAGAAAATTAAACTCCTAGTAATAAAGATATTTTCTGTTCTTATCATAAATATCTTGCAAGTCATATTAAACGTGAAGGTGTTGATAATCCATTTTGCACTTTAGCTAGTGGTGATAGTCTAGAGGAGAGTGCTCGCCCTTCAGAAGCATTGGTATTTGGTAGCACATAAAAAGTACGCACTTCATGAGTTGGAAATGGCATAAGATGACAATTGCAAGAACAAGTATTGTGCTATGAAATTGAAATCACAATTCACATGGGACTATTATAATAGTCAATTGAAACTAGAAGGGTTAAAACCATACTTGTATGACTATGATCACTGGATCTTCTGCAGCAGGTTTTCGACCATTATTCTCTGCTGAGCACCACTCAATGTCTCTGAGTTCATAATCGCATTAGCTACGATAATAGTTGTGGGTGGAGATGCTGCATTGACCTAGGTGAAACAATATGAAAAGGAAAGCTGAAATTAATAGAATGAAAATTCCCCCACCTCCATTTCATAAATGATGATGGTCAAGCATATGCTTCATAGGAGACATGTCCGTTTAAAGAAGCAAAGAAAAAGAACATAATATGGCATGCTAGAAATAGAGGGTGTCTGCGTACCCAAACACGTCCATTTAAACCAACTGCTATCTCAAAGGACAGTTTCTTCCCTAAAGCATCAAGTACTGGACATGTGGGTGAGCTGAGAAGCCTACAAACAACACACAATCTATCATGTCATGATCTATTAATGTGATGCAAGGACAGCAAACAACAAATTCCACAGGCATATATCCTTGAGAGACCGGTTGTACACTCAAACATATAGCCATCTTTTAGAGCACCAAATTCTGCTGCTTTCCCACTAGCTAAACAAACACCAAACAAAGTATTTGCTAATCTGTGGCAATAGCAAAATTCAATGATAGTAGTCCTATACAACTAAGGAAAAAAATTGCTTTCTTCATAACTTTGTAACATTGCTCTAGTCGAATCCTTAAAGATAAATAAAAAAACAGAAATACTGTGCCGCTGGTTTGTTCTTCCATATTCAATAAATCCAAGTAATCTGGGTAGACTACAAGGAGCTGCAACATGTGTTGTTAAGACGCATCTGTAAATCCAATTTGGAAGTATCCTATTTTTGTTGAAAAGTCCAAATTGGCAGCTGAAAGCAGAAATCAGGAACCAACTCGATTTCCATTAAGTAGGACTTGAAAATGAACGGAAGTTATACACATCATCATCCAACTTACCCATTTTCTGCAAAAACCAAATCGCTCCAAGATGCAACGTAGATAGTTCCAGGAGAGCCTGTCAAAAGCCTTGCTTATGTCGATCTTCAAAGCTGCTTCATGTTTAGTTCTCTTTCCGCTACAACGTAGGTAGTGGATAGCTTCAAACGCTACGAGCACATTGTCTGTGATAAGGCAGTCTTGAACAAAAGCAGCCTGTTCGAGGGAGACGCACTTTTGGAGAAGAGGTTTTAGACGATTTGCTAAAGCTTTCGAGAGTATTTTATATATCACATTACAAAGAGCAATTGGTCGAAGCTCTTTCATGCTTGATGGATTAGGACACTTTGGGATTAATGCAATCACTGCGTCGTTGATGTGTGGGGGAAGCTCACCAGCTTCGAGCCAAGAGTTGCAAGAGGAAAGAATGTCTTCGCTACAAACCTCCCAAAATCTTTTGTAAAAACCAGGATTGAATCCGTCAGGCCCTGGAGCTTTGTCTTTGTGCATCTAAAAAAGAGTCGTACGAAGTTCTTCTCTTGATAAGAGCGTTGTGAGTTGCTCATTATCCAGTTGGGAGATCTTACAATCCAAGGTATCAGTTATAGCTTGAATCTCCCCTAGAAGTGTGGTGAATAGGTCCTGAAAGTATGAGCATGCAAGGTTACCAAGTTCGGTAGGGGTGGAGTGTTGTTTTCCTTCAGAGTCGTAAAGAGTGGAGATATGGTTTTTCTGACGACGTATGTTCACTGCTGCATGAAAAAATTTTGTATTGGAGTCCCCATCTCTTAACCAAAAAGTTTTGGCACGTTGACTCCAATAGGAATCCATGCAACGTAGTTGGTGGCTGAGTTAGTGTTGTAGCTGAAAGTATA